GGTGTACATTTTTGATATTTATTTTATATATTTAAATGCCATTTAACAAAGAAAAATCAACCAAAAAAATGAGTTCACGTGTCACCTCTGACACGCGTGTCATAGGTTCGCCATCACTGTTCTAATGCATGCATCTGTAGTTGAGAATTGAAGCCTTATTTCCATAGAGGCTTGTTATTTCGTTTAAATCTTCTCTTGGCTTGATGGCTCTGTAAATGGGCAGCTTTTCCCCCCAAACCCTTTCTCCGTTAGGCTTTTCCTGGAGAGTACCACGGAACCAAAAGGAGACAAAACTAAGACCAAATAATTCTTGTTTTGAAGCGAACACACTTAGGTGCTTAATGTGTTCCAGGCAGTGTTCTCATTAGTGGGGATATGGTAGTGAATAAGGCAGACAAGGGCCCCTGCTCTTAGCTGGGGATGTCATGGTCAAAGAGTAGAAAGCAGTATACCAATAAGTGAACAATTTAATTTCAGATCATGATAAACACTATGAAGAAAATAAAAGAAGACTATAGTGGTGACTTAATAGAAGACTGTATTAAGGACAGAGGTTCACATTGAAAAAAATTGTCATTATAGGTTGTTTTTGGTCATGCTCAAATTTGGGATCTAGCAATCCAGGCAGAGAAATAGCAAGTCCAAAGCCCAAAGTCCGCGACAAGCCTGGCCTATTTGAGAAACAAAAACAGCTGGTCGAACAAGAACATTGTAGGTAAATGGGAGGAAGGGTGTGGATAGGACTCTCATGTGGTTTCAAGGTTTTGGACTTTGCACAGCTGGCTCAATTATCCTTTTATAGCAAATTCTAAGATGGGAAGGCCAAGGCAGTTTGAGGGAAGCAAGAGATGTCCATTAGGCATTAAGCTTCTGGGTCTGGGAATGGTTGGTGTCTCTCTCTCTCTTCCTCTGGCTTTCCACGTGTCGGCTGCAGGATAGCCGGATTTTTTGCATGTTTGCTTGTTGCTCAAAGGCTCCCAAAGCTATCATCCTAAAAGAAACCTGCAGAACCTGCATGGACTTTCCTAAGAGAGCCTGGGAGTCCTAGACTCCATCTTTTCATGGGAGGTTTGTCAAAGAATTTGCAGTAGTGCTTTAAAACCCTCATATTACTTATAAGGAATTCCTTATATTAAGTTTGTTATCTTTTAATATTAGTAATAATTTCCTTTTTAAAATAATGGTGAATAGTACCTTGTCTTTGGGATTATTAATGATATAGTACTTTTTCTATTTTATATAGTTAAAATTGTTTCCTTAAAATTAGGAACCATTTGTTGACGCTGTACTTACTAGTGGGTCTAAGTCTTCATAGGACCTTCTTCCTTACACTGTCAACTAATTAAATCCTGTAACACTTCATCAAATGCAATACCATATTAAAAACAGTGGAGCATTTAAAAAATGTGAAATTGTTTGGAGTTCTGTAGCCCTGTCTTTAGAAGAGGTTTCCAGTTCTGGTTCAAATTTGTTTCCTAGAATGAGTCCTAAATCTGTTGGATAGTAAAATTAAAAAATGTTCAGTGGCTAAAATCTAAGAAAGTTTTTAAAGAGCTATGACTTGTGTATTATTTTTGTATTTTGGAAATAGCATTTTTTTTCTTTAAGTGATCTGGAATTTTAGAATTTTATTCCTTTTCATTGGATTCTATTAGGAAGGAAAAATAGGATTGTATTTTATTTTTTATATGAGTTTTTAATAACTTAAAATTATTCTCATCCCTAACTATGTGTTACTCACTTTAGAAATATTTAGGAAAAAAACCTATATGCCCAGGTCCTACTCCCAGAGATTCTGACTAGTTGATTTGGGGTGGGGTCCAGGTATAGGTCTTTTTTATAGCTCCCCAGGAGGTATTCTATTATGAAGCCACACTTGAAACCCCCTGCCCTACTGTATCAAATTGTGGTGTTTGCTGATGCTGATTTTGGTCTTTGTAACAGGGAAAAAATAAAAAATGGAAGGCCTGCCCGATGCAGCTGCTTTTGCAACTAAACTTAAAAACACTCTCATCCAGTACCATAGCATTGAAGATGATAAGTGGCGTGTTGCAAAGAAAACGGTAAATTTGTTTAATTGGGGTGTATCGTCTGTCGAATGAATTGGTTAATATCTTTCAGAATAGTATGGGAAAATGTGGACCATACTGCAAATGGATATGCAAGATAGATAATTTTCCTAATAAAGTGGGTGGTTTAGCAGGTCATAAAGGAACAAACATAGTAATCCTGTACCGCTTTCAGTAATTCTTTAGATATTGGACAGGAGAATAGACTTGGGGAACAAGAGCCTAAAGAATGGCCTCTTAAGTCAACAAAAAATGTATCATTGTCAGTTTAAGGAAGTATAGTAATTGGTAGTTTGGAATAGTTTCAGATATTTCAACAGGCCTATGAGAGTGGCCAGTTAGTATTTTTAGCAACATGACTTGCCCAAATTATCATATGGCTGAGTGTTCACAGAGCCAGTCCTAGAATCCAGGACTCTTCCAATTAAGTACTTTAGCTATTCTGATATTCAGAATTTCTTGGATAATTACCAGTAAAAAATTGTAGGGATTAATTCAAGGTAGCACTGTCAGAACAGATGTGAATTGTTTAATATTTTAAAAGATATGAGTGAGTTCAGAATGAAATACTTAGCATTCTTAATGTCTTAGTCTAAATGTGTCAGTAGACAAGATTGGAATAGGAAAATAATAAATGGCCAGTGAGATAGTGCCATCACTGAATCTTTACAGTATTTGGGTCACATTAAGCTACTGAAAAATCTTTCCTGGAGGTCTATAATTTAAATAAAATGTGAAGGATTTTAGGATAGAGAAAAAGTTCAAATGTGGATCATTTGATGGTATAAATAACTTTTATGAATCTCTGAATATTTACTTAAGTTTTAATGCAAAGACTAATGCTTTAGACATATGAAATTGTTAGTTTTATATCCAAGGTTCCACTTATATAATTATCACCATTTACTATTTTTATTTTTCTAGAGAGATGTCACGATTTGGAGAAAACCTTCAGAAGAATTTAATGGATATCTGTACGTAAATTCTAGTAGTTTTATGTAGCTCTTAAGACATTGCTGAATGTTTTATACGTACACACACAGAAACGTTAATGATCACTAAATGATCATTGCCAATAAAATTAGGCCTCTGCTTCTAAGATTTAAACTTTCTGAGAAGCAAGTTACCTTATGAAGTCAAAGCCTATTTCTATAACCCTTCTGTACTGAGTTGATGGTGAGGGGATCATAAATAATGATGTGAAATGACTGATAAGATCTTAATTTCTTAGCATCCTATATAATAAAAGGCTAACATAAATTGAACGAACGGTGGAACAACTGGTCGCTATGACGTGCCCTGACCACTGGGGGCAGATGCTCAATGCAGATGTCCCCTGTTGGTCAGTGCACTCCCACAGGGGGAGCACTGCTCAGCCAGAAGCCCAGAAACCTCTCCCGCCCCCACAGGAGCACTGAGGAGAGCGGGCCTAAGCTGTCAGTCGGGCATCCCGTGAGGGCTCCTGGACTGTGAGAGGGCACAGGCTGGGCTTAGGGACCCCCGGAGTGCACAAATTTTTGTGCACTGGGCCTCTAGTCTCTCTCT